GCTATTTCGACGTGAAATGGCTTAACACTGAAGAACTCGGCAGATGCCTTTCGTAGGCAATCGCAATGGCAGTTGGTCGAGAGGGTCGAGTTCACTACTTTGCTTGCTTTTATCTCTACATCGGTAAGCCGTCAGTTGCGGGCTCATCTCTTGAGAGATCCCTCTTCTTTCAGTCAAATCCAATTAATTCATAGTTCATTGCACTTTTCGAACAGAATGAAGTGGATCGTCGCGCTTCATGGGAGTCTCAAACTCTGGCTGGTGGCGATATCCTGCTCTGCTGAACGAAGCTTGCCGATTACTTTTGATACTGCGGACCCGATACTATCCCATATTTCTACAACAGAATGCCATTTACAAGTAGCGCTCTTAATACTTTTTATGGAACATCACCTGATTCAAATGGGATAGAAACGATATCAATCAGAGCCGTTTATTCTCTTTCTTTTTCGAAATATTTTGGGATTTTTGCTGAGAGCTGAGCAGGCTATTTGGTATCTTCATGCTGAGAACCTTCTTTATGAAACCTGGGTTCAGGATTTTGACGGAAACGAGGAGTAGATGTTAGCGCTTGCTATTGCTCTTCATCGTTTCTGCTGCTGCTGCGTTTTTGAGACCCGGCAAGAGGGGCAAAGCCTCAATCGCCTCTGTGCCTAACCAACTTTTCGGCGATAACTGATGAGTGAGCAGGAAATATTTGCTTCACGGCCGTGTGCTTCCCCCGAAAAGAATCGTTGGTTGTCTACGAATGCTAGCGGGTCTTCGCTGACATTCTAATGAAGAGTTGTCGGTAGTTCTTCAGCACCATGACGGTTTAGTGTGACGAACCGTCAACGCCGTTATTCCTTGTCAAGCAAGGGTAGGCTGGTTCCCATCGGCGTGATATCCTTGGGGATTCAGCCGAAATTACCAATGTCCATAGCATCTTCGACTACATAGATGTAGTCCCTTTCATGATTTCGGGATACCACGAACAACTAGGTTCGGGTCGGCCACATATACGAAGCTATTGAATCCCAAGGGCTTGAAAGGGGTAGAAACAGTTTTTCGCTTTGCTACGCATTACCCACAGACTCGGCTAATAATTGTCAATTCCACGCAAGCAGGGCAGTAGATTGAAAATGGGGGAATATACTTCCCAGTAGAGTGACTAGGAAGACGGTGGGTGTTTCGTATGCATGACGAGCTCATCGCGTCGTCTTAATCGCTGAATCGTGTAAACAGCCGGCAATGCTTCCTAAGTACGCTTGTCGTGGGGTTTCTTTTCCCCCTCCACCCCCAGAGAGGCAAGCCTCAAGTATTTTCTAGCACATTACGTTTCGAGTGTTTCCATAATGGGCTTGGTTTCCGACGGGAATCGTTAAGGCTTTTGGGAAAAACTGACTTTCTTCACAACCTCTTTGCATGACTTATTGGCATTACCAAGTGAGTCAACTGTAAATCTCAGGAATACGACGTGATTGAACTTTCTAGAAAAAGTGGCTTACCAGAAAATTCTCAAAATCTTCTTTCAGCCTTAAGCTCAGTTACTGAATCCTAGGCGATGCTTCTCGGATGTGTTCTCAGCCACCGAAAATGAAAAGTTATTGAGCTTCCCACAGTGTTCCTGGGCTTCCACGGGCGAGTAGGCTCCTCCATGTCTTGCCTCCTTTGAGCTGTTTGTCAACTTCACCCATGCAGGCCACCCCAGTATGAACCCTATCGTTTTTTTCCGGACCATTCGAATGGCTGCCACTATAGCGTCTGCCAAAAGTTTGTGACAGCAACCTGGTATAACTCTTATTACACTGCAATATAAATCCTCAAGTAACACGTGGCAACCGAACACCTGCTCGCCACCCAGATCTGAGGAACTCTAGCGGTTTTGATTCAAGCAAATACATCTACCCTTATCTCCAAGGCCGATCAATGACGGCCCCAGAAACAATGAAATTTGGGCGCTCAGAGATTGACGAGCTCTCCTTTACTCCATCCACTCTGGGGTGGGCGAACTAACGAACAACACTTTGCGTCTATTATCAAGCACGGAGTAGCTCGCCCGTATCGATGGTTCCGATAGCTCTCCCACACATGGGTGCTTTCAAAGCTGGGCTAGGCCAACTGAAGGAGGCCTTCAGGAAGTAGTGCTCTCCCTGTAGATGTGACCCTTCTGTCCTGTGATATTGTTCGTAGAACTGGAGGTTGGGCATAGACGGAAACAGTTCAATAAAAGTCTTCCATACTTTATGGCCTCAAAGGGGGCCAACCTGGGCCTAAAAGCAAATCTCAATTTATTACCCTTGTCGCTTGTCACACCCTAGGGAACATTCAGTCTGGTATCTCAAAATACACGTCACTGCCAATCTATGAAACCTTTTGATGAGTGAGACCCCGAGCCCGAGAAAGCCTTATGTTTTTCCGGTAGAACAGCTCTCTCTTTTCTTCCCCGGTTTCTTTTCTGGGAGTTCTCTCGCAGGCAAAATTAGCTGAAAATGAATTATTGTATGTGTTCTCCTGCCAATTCATCATATCGCTCGTTCACATGCCCAGGTTTTTGATAATTTATGGCTGCATTTCGACTCGTAGCATTCATCTTAGCAACTGCTTTTCTAATTCACTGAAATTAACGAAGTACCCGAGAGTTTTAGTATCAAAACAACTTGTTATTCCACACAACATGAGTTCCTACACTCACCACGCAGCGTCGGAAAGTACCCGCAAAGTTACACTTCGAGGCGGTTCTGGAAGCTTCAAAACAGTTAATCTATCACTCCCAGATTCCGAGGAAATGCTGTGCGATGACTTTTTACTATACTGAAAACGCATGCAGTCGTTGGAAAGGTTTCTAGTGATTCCATCACGCACGACTGTAGATTCGGTTCGGCTTCCTTTCCCTTGCCATATTTCTGCCCTTAGAAACACCTATTATCCGAAATATGTAGAAGAATCAAAAGACTGTGAAGGAATTTAGAATTCTGAATGGAAATGGAATGTGGGGGAGGGGGAGGGTAATCCCTCAGACCTTCAAGACTTCGTAAAGGATGTACATATTTAAAACCTTCTGTGAAGGGATTGATATGAAAGTGGTATAGGAGCGATCTCAGAGCTAGTTGCGAGATGTAGTAATTAGAAAGAGGTTGAGGGTTGCTTGAGTGTATGATTTGGAGCCAGTAATAGCTAGCACTGATAGTGAAATAGTAGCACATGGTGGGGAGGCTGATATCTGATAATTAGATCTTTCATGTCGACTTGAGAAGTCTATAATTGTTAGGGGCAGAGGTGGCGCAGTGGCAAGTGGCGCATGGTCACGGGTTCGATACACGTACCGATATCTGCTTGGGCAAACCGAACCTTTCGCAAACAGTCGGATCTTGTTGTTATAAGCGCATGAAATGTTCCCAGCTCCTCTCAGGTTTGAAAAAAGGACGTTCTGCTCACACTCCACTTTTGAGAAGTTTGTCATGTTCCCTTTCTTCCAGCATATCCTTTCCTGAGATTGTTTCCACGATTAGCCATTAGTGTGGCAT